TGAGCCACCATGTCCGGCCATTTTTCTGTTCTGTATAGTGTCATGATATACTGTCCTAGACGTATAGAGCCTGTTTTGCACACATGTAAGTGTAGCCATGGGACGGCTTTCTGTTATAGTATTGGAATGTCTGGGTTGAAGATTTTTGCATTCTAAGTGTTGATTGATATTTAGTATTAACAAATTACCTTCCTCAGAAAACAGGATCATGTGTGGTGGGGACATATTTAGCTGGTAATACCTCCCTACCCTGAAGGGTGGCTGTGAAGTTGAAGAGCAGATCAAGTGCCTGATGTCCAGCTGGTACTCAGCAGAAGGCAGTGGGAATGGGGGTTCTGGTTACCCCCACACCTCCTCACATCCCCAAAGGGACCCCCTCAGTGTAGGACTGGGAGCCACTCTTCTGCAGGTACTTACCTGAGCACCTGCCTGGTGCTGTCCTAGGTTCTAGAATACAGCACAGGCAAAGCGACAGCTCCTCTGCCCTCACGAGGGCACAGTCTTGTGAGGAGACAGTTAATGCACAGGAAAACAAGTAAAGAAATGGGCAGGCAGGATACAGTGACCAGATAGGGGAGCATCCTAGGACAAGGGGTGAAGGAAGGCCAGTGCGAGGATGTGAACCTGGAGGAATAGGAAGAAGACAGCCATGTGACGCATCGGTAAGAGCCCAGGAGAGAGGGGCCAGCGTGTGCGAGGGCGCTGAGGAGCCAGTGGTGGGAGTCCCAGACACCCGGGGAGGAGCTGTCCTGTCAGGGTTCCTGAGCTGGGAACCACCTGGCTGGACCAGCAGACCAGATTCAGCACCTGCCTGTCCCTCAGGTCTTCTGGAATCACTGAGGGCTTCCAGGAAGAGGGACTGGGAGCAAGGGCCTGAGGGTGGGGGCCTAGAGAGCACCACCTTCTGAGGTAAACCAGGAGAGCAGAGGATGGTATGGTGAACCTGCAGGTGGAGAGATCTAGAGCTACAGCCCAGGCTGGGTTTTTGGGGGCATCATGGAGCAGACCACACCAGGCACAGGGAGGCCAGTGGGGCAGCGAGAGCATCTCCTCCCTTCAGCTGCCAAGCGACTTTCCAGGCCTTCCTGTCTGGGGTAGGGAATGGGGTGATCTGGCTCCCAATGGGAGTGATGTTCCAGCACAGGACCGTGGCTGGGCCTGCTTCTGCACCCGCCGGACCCTGACTCCACTGTGTGCCCCAGCAGCATAGTGGTGGCTCCACTTGAGTCACGGTCCTCCCCATCCCCTGGACTTCTGTCTCCACCCCTGCTGGCCACCTCCCTAAACCCACCTTCCTCCTCAGAGTGGAGAGGGTCAGCTGCCCGGGCCACAGCCTCCCCACTCCTGGAACCCACCTGCAACCCCTCCTGCCCGGTGCTCCTGAGCTGCTGCCGTTCCTTACATTTCCCCTGTGAAAGTTGTCAGAATTGACATGGAGTGATTTTGTATTAAAAAAAATAATAATAATAAAATAACCCTTGGCTGCACGTGGTGGCTCACACCTATAATCCCAACACTTTGGGAGGCCGAGATGGGTGGATCACCTGAGGTCAGGAGTTTGAAACCAGCCAGACCAACATGGTGAAACCCTGTTTCTACTAAAAATACAAAAAAATTAGCTGGGTGCCTGTAATCCCAGCTACTCAAGAGGCTGAGGCAGGAGAATTGCTTGAACCTGGGAGGCAGAGGTTGCAGTGAGCGGAGATTGCACCACTGCACTCCAGCCTGGGTGACAGAGCGAGACTCCATTTCAAAAATAAATAACCCTGACAAATAGAACTAGGGAAGGCCATGAAGGGAGAACTGTCATGCATAAAGGCCCGACAACACTAACTGTCACGGAGGACTCTACAAAAACCACAACCTTACATAAATACCATCGTAACCACACACAAAAAATACCCCTGCGAGGACATCTGCCCAGCAAATGCCTGTCCGACCCTGGAGACTGTAATCACTCTTGCTATTCAAGGATAGTTATCTCAAAACAGTTACGTAATCCTCTTCACTTTTCCTTTGAAAAACCTCCCTGGATACGCCCTTAGTTTACTATAGCATATGTACTCTCATTCCGATGCCCTATTCCTGAGTAAGTATCATTTTCTTTTTTTTCTTTTTCTTTTTCTTTTTTTTTTGAGATGGAGTCTTGCTCTGTCACCCAGGCTGGAGGGCAGTGGCACGATCTTGGCTTGCTGCAACCTCTGCCTCCTGAGTTCAAGCGATTCTTGTCCCTCAGCCTCCCAAGTAGCTGGGACTACAGGCGCCTGCCACCACACCTGGCTAATTTTTGTATTTTTAGTAGAGACGAGGTTTCACCATATTGGCCAGGCTGGAATCGAACTCCTGACCTGAGGTGATCCGCTGGCCTCGGCCTCCCAAAGTGCTGGGATTGCAGGTGTGAGCCACCGCGCCCAGCTGCATCATTTTCTTGTAGAGAGCCTCTCCTTGTTTGTTATTTAGGTTGACACCCCGAAGGCCAGATCCTCATTCTGGCCCACCAGAGAGGCCAGGCGGTTTCACAGTGCAGTGGTGGGCGGCAGGCCTGAGTTTCAGTTCAGGCTCAGCCTTGATTGTGTGGCTCTGGACAAGTCCCTTCTTTTCCCTGGGCCCCAGACCTCTTGACCCCCTTGTCATCCAGCTCAAGTGCAGTCAGGAGCAGGGGGCGGGAATTCCAGCTAAGTCTACATTGGAGAGGGGGATGATGGGGTGGGGCTGGCACCAGACCCCGATATTGCTCCTGCAGCTCAGGCTGAGAGGTTGCAGGGGAGTCCCGATGCCTGAAAGCAGAGAAGCACCAGGGCTTTGAGACACAGCCTCTTGTTAGACACTCACCATTGATGTCAAAACTTGTTGACTAATCTC